GGGTCGAGTTCAAGTTCAAGTTGGGAAGCAGAGAGATGACGACATGTGCTTTACTTACCTAATGGCATTCCGTCGGCAACCGCCGTCTTCGGAATTCCCACAACTCCTGATCAGGATGAAGCCCCTGCTGTACCGAGCGCCGGCTCGATCGACTACTTACTCTACTAGTGGCTCGAAGGAAGAAGGCCATGAAATGGCATGTATTGTACTTCATATTCACGTCGGTCTGGTCTAGTCACAATCCTCCTTTCTTGAGTAGGGAGGGAGCTTAATCACCCTGCGCCACACTTGCTCGAAATGGTCTCTCCGTGTCCTCCGGTTTGCCTTACTTAGTTTGTGGATGCAGACTGAGAAAACCAAGCATGGTCAATTCGAGATGCACAGATCGTCCCTGGGCTTATGTATAGGCAGCGTATCATATCATATATCATCACTTGCACTACTTATACACCGAGCCGCGCTGAGCAGCGAAATTTAATCTATCTATGCGTGTAGAGTATACAACTGAAATGTGCATGTGAAGTTGTGAACACCACAATGAATTTAAAAAAATGGATAAACCAAATAACGAGCGGACGAATATCCCAAGAACTTGAATGACGAATAATCATGTACAATGAATAAATGAATGCAAGTCCAAAAAGTCCTAACTCCCTCAAGCTCCAACCCTCTTTCAATCCCTCCAATCCATCCTACCCCACCACCTCCTGCACCTTCCCACCCATCCCCCCACCCCCACCCACACTCTCCTCACCCCCAGCGTATCCCCAACCTCCTCAACACCGCTCCGAACCCACTGCCTCCTACCTGCCCATGCCCACTTCCTCCGTGCCCATCTCCCCTCTTCCTCCCCCTCCCACTCTCCCGTGCACTTCTCGTTCCAGGTATAACCAAAGAAACGACCGAGCGTCTCTTTGCCTCTTTCCTAGCCTTCTCATGATCGGTGTCATAGTGCCTCGAGCCCAAGCGGACCTCGACAGCGGACCTTGCGGCCGACGGCAAACTCCCACTCCCACTCCCATTCGGCCTCTGGCCTTGCACATGCACATGACCGTGTCCGCGCCCCTGCGAGCGAGCGAACGACCCAGAGAGCGCAGGCGACGGCGCGCTCAGCATAATCGTCGGCGTCGGCGTCTCGTGCTTCCCTTGTCCCTCCTGCCCCTGCCTTTGCACCGTGCTCCCAGCAGACGACAACGACGTACTCCGCTGGCTCCTCGCCGACCCCGGTCCCGCATACTCTTCCAACTCGCCCTCATACCCATCAACAGACCCAGACACCCTTCTTCCCGTGCGGGAGGAGGCAGAGCCGGCGACAAGCGGGGGCGGGCGGGGGATGGGGTGTGCTACGGCTGTGTGCGATTTCGTGGGGCTGCGAGTCGGCGACGCTTGTGCCGATACTTGACCTTGACCTTGACCTTGAATTTGCGTTGAGCCGTTGGTTTGTAGGCGAGGAGCAGGACGCGCCTGCACCTGCGACTCCAATCGCTCTCGGACAGGCGACCGTATGCTGGCAGGCGACTGCACAGGCGTATGAAACTCCTCTTCACATTCCCCGTCGTCAACTTCGTCGCCCTCCTCGCTACTCGACGTCTCAGGCGGCGTCGGCAGGCCGTGCCCATAGTGGTGGTGGTGGTGTTGGTGGTGGTGGCTTGTGCGTCTCTTCCTCTCGCTGTCCTTCCTTCTCTGATCCTCTTCCTCCTCCTTTCCTTCCTCCTTTCCCTCTTTGGCTGTCAAGCCCGCTCCGGTCTCCAACCCATTCTTCCAATTCGCCCTTCGCTCCTCCCTTTCGGGCGCCTCCTCATGATCCCGAGAATCCTCAAGAACCACAACCTGGACGTCCTCCACACACCCAACCCACGCCCTTCCACCTCCATTGCCCCCATTCCCTATCCCACCTCCCATCCCACCACCTGTCCTCCCTACCCCTCCTCCGAGTCCACCCGCCAACTCATGGTCAGAGTCCAACGCGCCTAGGAGGACGATTTCTCCGATCGTCATCTCTCGCTCTGTGCTTTCGTCGGACAGATGGTGTGGATTGCGACTGCGGCGCGTCCCCCGCACCTCCGCACCCCACACCCCCGGCGCGACGAGGTACGGTATGGGTTTGCTCTGCGCACTCGCACTCGCGTCGGCCTGTACGTCCGCCAACGCGCCCATACTCGTCGTACTTCCACTCGAGCCGAGGTACGAAGCACGCCTGCCCGCACCCCCCTCGGCCGCCTCCTCACTCCCACTCCCACTCCCACTCGCAAGGTACGCAGACGTCGGGCGCGCTCGCTCCTTGCCCTGCCCCCTCAACTCCAAATGGGAAGACGGGTGCTGAGAAGAGGAGGGAGGTCTACGAAGGCAATGAACAGGCGACGGCGCAGCGACACTCCCAAGCGGGTACGCAAACGCGAGCAAGAACTGCTCGACGCTCTGTACCAATTTCGGTTTCTCCCCCCTCCTCCGTTGTTGTCCTTGTACCTGTACCTGTACCCCGGCGTTGCTGAGGAGGGGTACGGAGGACGACCGCTTGCCGCTCATCCCTCCTCCCACACCACCCACATGTTCATACGAGCTCGAATGCCCTTGAAGCTGACGTGTCGCCAAAGTCGGTCGGGTGGATGCACGCCGCCCATCCTCATCCTCATCCTCCACAGGCCCATCCTCATCCCCCACAGGCTCCTCAACAGGCAGAGGCCGCAGCCCACTCGACAGCACCGGCGCGTACGCGTGCATCTGCCTCCTCCTCCTCTCCCTCTCTTGTAGTCTTAGCGCCTCCGCCTCGGCGCGCACCTCCTCAGCCACCCACCCCACGGGCAGGACGTGGACGAGGTGTGCGTTCTTCGGTTTGTCGCCGTGTGGGTAGGCGAGTGGGTGGGTGTTGGTGTTGGTACCGGCACCGGCACCACGTCCACCGGTAGTGCAAGCACTGGAGTTGGAGTGGATCGTGCTGGGGCGTCGACTAGGAGAGTCCGATGAGAGCGAGGGCGACGAAGAAGACGCGGACGCGGACGGAGGAACGGCAGGAACAGCAGAAACAGGCGTTGAGACGCGTAGAATCCCGCTCAAGCTGAGGACCGACATCCTGCTGCTGCTGCGCTTCGATTTGACTTTATGCACCCCACTTCCGCTGGACGTAAACCGGTCAGTCAACTTCTCATGGGGAAACGGGTGTGCAGGCGCCAGTGGCGGAGGGGGCGACGGGCAAGGCGAAGTCTCCGGTGTCGATCCAAGCGGCGTCGAGGAGAGCGAGGAAGAAGGCGTAGAGGAGGGAGAGATAGTGAACGAAGCGAACGAGAATGCGGAGAACCTTTTCGACAGGGGGCGCGGTATGGACTCGCCCGCGCCCGAGTGGGTGGTATAAGAAGACGCGTGGAGGGCACTGGGAGTAGAAGGAGGAACGGCGAGGTATTGCGAGCTGAGCGTGGACACTAGCACGGCATGCTTCAGCAGCGCTTTGTCGGGGAGGTTGGCGGGGAGGAAGTTGATGAGGGCGTCGAACGTTCGCATGTTGTTGTTGTTGACCGCATGGGAATTGGGAGAGGAGTCGACGTTCATGAGCTTGCGTAGTGCGGACTGGGTGCGGTGTTGCCTTTTTCGCTGGGTGGCGGAGGGGAGGGAGGTGGTTGACGTGGATGAGGGAGCATAGGTGGATAAGGAAGGTGGGCGGGATGTGGAGGGGGATGTGGAGGTAGATGCGTAGGAGGCGTAGGACACGATGGACGGGGCGGGTGAGGGGTACTTGGGGTTGGCGGTTAAATTTAGATTGTGCGTGTGCTGATTAGATGTATGAGGGGTAGGGGTAGGATGCGGCGGGGCTTGTGCTGAGGCCTGAGTGGTTGTTGGTGGGACGTGCATGTCGTTCTGCGGCGCGGGTGAAGCGTACACGAACGGCTCGACGAGCGTGAACTGGCCACCCGGGACCTCCTCGGCGAGCTGGATGATACGGGGGTAGTGTGCTGTCGACGTCGACTGAGAGGAGTACCGCCACAGACGGGCGACGCGGGCCGCACGCTCAAAGAGGCTGACGAGGCGCAGGGCCCCCGAGTCGTGCACGGCGAGCGGGGCGGGGAGACGGAGGACACGGACGGCGGGTCCGAGTGCGTTGGGCGGCAGGGCAGGGATGCTCGGAGGGGCGTGCGTGGCGAGGAGTAGCAGCGAGGAGGCGAGGTGGGGCGAGGTGAGCAGGGGAAGAAGGTCGGACGGGCATGGTTCTGTG